GGGCACTGGAGCTGGCCGGCAGCGGGGGCAGCTGGGCTGGGAGGGGGCCCGAGGGCTGGGCCGGGCCGTTCGGGGCCTGCAGGGACTGCTGCTGGGCGGAGGAATCCGAGTCGCTCTCATTGTCCTGGGGGCTGGAGATGCTGGGCGAGGTGCTCCGGTTGTCCTGGTCAATGTCCTTGGGGTCGCTGCTGCCCTCGTCGTTCACGCTGCGGCTGTCAGAGCTCTCCCCTTCGCCCTCCGAGGGGGAGTTGGGCCGGCTGATCTCCTGCGGCGGAAGGAGGGAGCGGTCAAGCTGGGGCAGCCTGAGGACCGGATCCCCCAGAGCGCCCTCCTGGTTAAGCCCACGGAGACGGAGGGGAGCCATGACCGACCAGGCGGGTCTCCGAGGACCTCATGGCTTCCATCTAGCCACCTCATCAAGCCCCCCGGAGAGCCAGCACCACGGCCTGTTTGTGCTGGAGACCGCCGCGGGCTGGATCTGAAATCCTAACCCTGGCTTCAAGAGGGCTCCCATCGGACCCCCCCCGCCCTGAGCCAACAGCTTGCTCCCCAAGGGACTCACCTGCGTTTTGGTTTTTTTGGCATTGATGTGGTCGGGTTCCTCGCTGTCGGACGCTGCCTTTTCGCGCTGGCGCTTGGAGCTCTTGAGAGGAGAAGAAGCCTCTTCTTTAATCTTCTGCCACCAAGGAAAAGTGACATGATTAGAGGGAAGAGACGGGGCTAACGCTGCTGGCCTCATAAAGGCTCCCCACTCAGTGCTAACAGCACAAGGGATTTTCCTGAAGTAGCAGAGGGAGCAAGGCCGGAGCACCGTTGATGGGGCAGGATTGGGCCTGCGGCTTTTCAGCTGCACGCTGGAAGGTCACCGGAGGTTAAGAACGTCTGGAACAGCCCAGGGGATGACGGTTGGTTTAAGAGGCTCACAATCACAGCTAGGAGGGTGATTAGCTGCTTCTGCTGTCAACCCCCGGAAGCTGTTCGTTAAGATCTCCTGCTTGGGATTCAGGAGAGAGAACCTCATCCACCCTGGGCCTGCCCGGTTTGTCTTTGAAACCACCTCAACTGTGACCATTAGGCCTCTGGTGGCGGCAAATCCCTTCTGCGCAGTGGAGAAGAAGTTCTCGCTACGTTTTCCCGTCATACGTCAAGTCCCCCTTTAGCTGAGAAACAGGGTGATGCTACAATACTGGCCCTTCATTCCTAGTACAGAATTTGCCTTTAAAATGCTGGGCCTTTTCTTCAAATGAGTTAAGACAGAAATAACGCATCTTCTATCTAGAGATTCTTCGGTAGGATACCACCCATAAAATATGGTGAAATGTTAAAAACGACAATAGGCGCAACTGTACTCGTTTACTTTAAAATGTGCGGTAATAACAATGATGATTCAGGTGTTCAAAGTCAGATGGTGATGGCGCCAGTCTGGCCTCCAGGGCAGAGCCTTCCGAAATGGGGTGCCCCAACAGAGAAGGCCCTGCCCGGTACTCTCCCATAATGCACTTCTCCCAGCTGCGGGATGCTAAGGAGGCTCCTCCGTTCAGTTCAGGAAGGACCATACCGAAAGATCCACTGAAGTGCATCAGACTAGTACAATCATCGTTTCAAACTGACCTTTCCTCTTAACTTCAGGAAATGCTGACCCCAAGACTGGAAGCAGAGAAGTCTCTGTTTCCAATCCCCTGGAGAGCAGGCCTAGATTGCGTTTCCCCACCTGGGCGACTTCCAGAAGACGTCCCCTCCCAGAAGCCTCAGCAAAGCCAAGCCAGCTGAGGAATTCTGGCCATCTCCACATCTGGAAGTGGCCCAGATTGACGAAATCTGCCTGAGATCTGCCCATCCCTGCTGGTTTAGGGCAGCAGGAAAAGAACTCAAGACCCAGCTCCATCAGGCACGCTGGACTTCTATCTCAGCTTGCTCCAAGCCTGGGAGTGACCAGGAGAGACCATGAACTTCCACCACAACGTACTTTGGTGGATTTCTTGACCGAATCCGCCTTGCTGTCGTTACTCGATGTGCTGGCCGCGCTGGGCGAGTTACGACCACTGGATCGGATGTCCTCATTGATGGGCGAGGCCCTACCATCTGGGCTGGTGGGTTGCTTTTTACGACCCCCGCGAAGTGTAGACATCTGCTGGTTAAAAGAGAAAGGCACGATCGAGGGCTGCTTCCAGGAGGCCCAACATTGGCCCGCAACACGAATAGGCTGGCCTATTCTCTCTCAAAGCCATCTTGTTTTGGTCAGCGACTCCTGGGTCTCCACCATTTCAAGGACAACTCAGGGCTTAGTGGGGTCTTGACCGGAGGAATGACTAGCTTGGTCCCATGGCTTCCGCCATGCCAGGTCTAGTCCAGCCCCAGAATGCACCAGGTGGACTTCTTCCACTCCTCGGCATCTCAAGTAAGGGAAAAAAGGAGGCTACGTTGTCACCCCAAGACTCCCTGGAGAATCTGAAAGATCTCAAGTCCTTGATGAAGCAGGGAAGCCAAAACAGCTGGGCCCACGAAAGGATAATGTGCCACAGAGCCATGGCATCTTGCTTTGTCAACCCATTCCAAAAAGAGCAGGTCTGGGTGGGACTTACCGAGCCACGACTCCTTCTTGTCCTCATGCTATGCTTCCCACTGAGACCGTCATCTTCCTCTTTGACCGGCTTGAACATAAAGGGGGGTGGGTCCACTGGCTTCTCGATGGGGGGGAGTTCACCGTACTTCTTGAAGTGGATGCGACAGTCTGTGCAGAGTAAGATGTTTTCCCGTCCCCCGTGGTGCCAGTCCTTGGAGGCTGTTTTTAAAAAAAATAATAAAAAAATGAGGGCGACCATGATCAACCCCAGAAGGGCAAAAAGAAGGACAGTCCCAGATTTAGGGAGAGATGAGCACTGGTCTGCCTCATAGGGCTGCTGGGAAGGATAGCGGTGGAGTAAACTGGAAGCCCCCGGCACATTTAGACAACTCTGTGAATGAGGCCCATGACTCCAAGGATCCCGACTGGTCGTACTGGCTAGGAATTTGGGGGGCCGCCCATCCAGCCCGGCTGGCAATGGACCGGTGGGTGGCTCCCTTACGAAACAGGAGGGGCGGCCTCAGCTGGAGGAGGCACGGTGGCGGAAGGGAGGGGACCCCACCGAAACATACGTACTGGTGGTGAAGCAGTGACGGCAGGCATAGCCCTTCAGCTCCTGTTCGCTGTCCTCGCTGTCAAAATCATCTTCGCTGGCTGAACTCAAATCCACTGGGGGGAATTAGAGGGGGACAGGGAGAGAGGGAGGGAGGACAAGAAGAAAGAAACTGAGCCGGAGTATCTTCCTCCCTCCCTTCTCCTTTTTTGGGGGGGGGCTACACAGCAAGGAGAGGAAGCACAGCTGCTTATTCAAAAAAGAGAAGAAAGAGAAAGTGGTTTGCGGCAACCGGAAGATGAAGAGATTTATAACAGCAACCCTTTGGGGGTTAGAAACTGAGTCATCAGACGGACTGGGGAAAGGCCGAGGGTATAAGGGTATAAGATAAGCCCTTCTAGCTGTGCCACCTTTCAATCCGCCTGCGACCCCCAGCTGGAAGAGAAAACTTGGTAATCTACAACGAGGAAGCCTCTGATCGTTCCTCAAACCAGTGTTTCTCAACCTCAGCCACTTTAAGATGTGTGGACTTCGACTCTCAGAATCCCCCAGCAACTTCTTAAAGATGCCAAGGTCGAGAAACGCTGCCTTAAACTTTCCCCGTACAAAACCCAGTGGTTTTTCACGCATCCGAGTGCCTTGGAGGGCCTGCTTGAAAGCAAGACGTTCCCAGCCTTCTGCAGTCCAGCTCCCCAGAGGGGCCTTTCTGTCCTGGAAGAGCCACTGAGCCCGGAAATGGGTCTGCTGTGAGTGTGGGTCACGCCTGGGAGAGGGGGAGAGGGTTTTATCTCTGGCCCCCAGGTAAAGTCAGCGTCCTTCCAGGGTATTCAGGACAACATGACCTGGAGGAGAATCTCTCTAGCTAGGGAGTGTCGTGTTTATATAGAGACACAGACATACGCTTAGTTTCTTGGCTGAATTGACATCGCTCTGGCGGTGTTGAACCCTAATCAAAGTTTCAAAGAGCCCTCTCTCACATTCCCGCTCTGCCAGCAGAGGCTTCAAAGCCATCTGTGGTTTGAGAATGAAGGAATGAGGGGGAGTTTTTTGCATCCCGACTCCGCGGCTGGGTCCTACTTGCAATATCCTCCTGAACTTCATTTCAATTTTTATTCTTTATTCATCTTTGGCGCTTCTGAGTGGGGTTTGTGACCGAAAACCAAGGCCCTTGCTTTCGGCTTCCTACTTACAGAATTCGCTTGACGGAGGCCTGGAGGGAGTGTTAACCGGAGTGGAAGCTGTTCGGGTTTTAATCCTCCGAAACACGGCCTGTCGCCGATGCCGGCGGTGAGCCCGGGAACTTGCAGCTTCAGGGGTTTTCTTCCAATAGTAATAGAAGGTGATCAGCTCTCCCTGGGGAAAGAGATCGCAAGGTTAGCACAGAAGCTTACGGAAGGCTCTTTGGGGGAACAGGATGCCGGGGAGGGGGCTGGGCTGGGCCTGATCCAAGCAAGACAACTCTTGGGTTCAAAGGATCCAGACCGAAGCTGCTGGAGCTGAAAGCTTAGATGGGGAGGGAGCCAGACCAAAGAGGAATGCAGGGGGCCGGTCGGCCCCAGATCGTCCATTCAAGTATTATCTACCATCCCCGGCAGCTGCCTTCTGGGTATGATAAGCAGAGGCTTTTCCTATCACCCCCTTCCTGCTCCTTTACATTTTTCTACCAAATATGCTTTCTAGCTGGGGATTGAACCCGGGGTCTTCTGCAGAGACAGATGGGTTTATTTGATTAGAGCGACTTGGATGCCCCTCGATCGGGGGACTCTAAATGGCTTGCAAGAATAATAAAACATAGAACGACAACGAACAACAACAAAGCAACGTATTAAAAAAAAGGAACATTCATTCAATTCGTTCATAAAATTTAACAAACGGTAGCGCCATCTCTCTCTCGGGTATCGAATTCACAACTCCAGAAGGAACTCTTTCAACCGTTCAGAAGAAATACAAGGAACAGACTTCCTGAAGGGTGGGACCCCATGCCCCCCCAGGGTTGCTGAACTACATTTCCCAGCCACCATGCCCAGTGGGAGGAATTGGGGGACTTGTAGTCCCTTGACCTCTGGAGAACGAGTCCTCCTACGACAAAGTTCAACCAAAGAGCAATCCGAGGCCACGCAATCACAAAACGCTTCGCTCCCTATCTATGTATTGTCTCTTTACTAAAATACGATGATGTTGGATGTGAGAAGGGGAGCGATAACCGATCCTCCGCGTTCTGCCGCCTGTCTTTTCCCATCTTGCACCCAAGAGCGATGCGCGTGCGTTTAAAAGGAACTGCAGATTGTCTGGGTACCCAACTGTCACTGAAAGGGGCTGTGAAGAAGCACAAAACCAAAGAGGGACAGTCGTGGTTAAATCAGCGCAAGCCTACCCTGGTTCTAAACCAAGCCCCCTTCTGTTTCAAAGCAGACCTCGTTTAATGAACATGCTGTTATTCTAGGGAAGCCCGCTAGATGGCAGCACGTAGCCAACCTCGGCTGCTCTTGAGAAGCTAAGTAGGGTCTGACCTGGCTAATATGTGGATGGGAGACCATGAAATGACCCCAGAGCTGTCGGTTAGACTGGGATGTTGAACAAACATCTTGGAAAGAAAGCAATGACACACCACTTCCACTTTGTTACCGAGAAAACTTTGTGGATGAAGCAGAGCTGGGCTCACAGGAGGCTTTCGTCCCCCCTAAACTGCCACGGAGATCCGTGGGGACCGAAAGGGGGCAGTGAGAAAAAGGAATTTTGCAGGACCGGTTCCTAATGACTTGGAGTTGGAAGGCCAGGAAGCCGGTACGTTTATGACTCACATCCGCTCTCCTTTTCAGAGCTGCGTTTCCTATCCGTTGTTTTGAACTGCTGGCATTACCATCACAAGGGATAAGAACGTCCCACCCCGCAACTTTAATTCTGTGGACGGATAATTAAAAAAGGAAAAAAGAGGGGTGGGCGGGTAGAGGATAACCTGGGATTGCAGAAGTACACGTCCCATTATCTCATTCTCAAAGCTCTTCCCACAACACTGAAGCCGTAAGAAGGCAATCTATTTTTTAAAACCTTCATATATACTGCGATGTTCAGATAATTAGGTAATAAAAGCGCACGCCAAAAGAAATCTGCAGTAATTCCACAGGGTAATGAATCTGGCTTACGTTCAAAAACCGGAGCAGGCCGTATTCAAACGGGCAGGTGTGACGCGGAGCTTTAAAGCCCGACGGGCGGTTTTCATCTCCTTGCAGTGGGCTTTGAAACCCCATCGTTTTCCAAGCGGCGAGGGGGGAAAGGACCAACTCTTTCAAGTTACAAGCGAGCTGGGGGTGTCCTCACCAGCCTCTTGGAAGCCGACGAGTTGGAACAAACATGCCTCAATTGCCCACGAGGGGGTCTGTGCATGTCTCCCTCTCTTTGAACCCCTGAATGATCTAGTCATCTCTCCAAACCTCAACCCAGGTGCCAAGTTTGGCCTCCTCCCGGTAGCTAAAATTCATAGCCACAACATGAATGGGTTCGCTGATGGGGCTTCAAGCTCGTCCGCGATGACAGGCTGGAAGTGGGGGGCTGTGCGTAAATGACAAGGCAACGCTATGATCTGGGCAGAGCTCAGTCTTCTTCTGGGGGGTAAAGCTTAAACGTTTCTCCAGGGTGATGGTGTCGCCACAAGCAAACGGGATGGAAGGAGAGATGAATGGATGGGAGAAATAAGTAGACAGAAGGATGGAGAGATGATGTGTGTGCGCACGCGCTACCATGATGGCACTGAAAAAGGACACGAGCATCATTAATATGTGGTCTCATAAGGACCAGCACTGGGGAGTACTCTCGAGTATTTGAAGATTACTCCAAATAATCCAGGTGGCCCACTGTTTGACGGGAGGGCCCTGGGATGGAACGTGAGTAATAATTTGCTCAGGTCCAACTCATGAACTCATGGAAAGGTGAAATGTGAAGTTCCTGACGGACAGAACTGTCTTACCTGCTATGTTAGAATACCCAGGTAGGGGTCAACTGAGAACCGAGCAGGTCTGATGATCCGGGATGACTTACTAAGTTGCCCTTACAACATACAAAATGGATTAGTGAAAAGCAATTGGCCAGAATGATCTACCGATACGCAAAAAAGTCTCGATTTCACATGATAATGCTTACGTTCTATACACCTTCACTGGTCAACTCACACCAGCCCCAGGTCACACCTGTGCACTTTTATTTAAGAAGGACATGACAGTGAATATTTGCTCACCAGTGGAACAATCCTCCATTGCAAATGGCAGCGTTAGCCTATGTCCTCATACAAGTGCTGGCCCGGGAATCTTTCTTGTGTGTCCGGGACCAAACTAACATGGTTACTGATCTGGAAACGGGGGTTGGGGGGAAAGAGGGAGAAGGATCACCGTGGGGAGGTTCCTGAAAACGGGATGTTGAAGGTGTTCACTGAACAAAAAGAAGGGAAATGGGAAGTGGCAGATTTAGGGAGGAGGAGGGGGTTTTTTCCAATGGTTACACACTCACACACAGAAGCACACACACAGAGAGAGAAACACACTTCCCTGCCATTAGTGATTCTGGGCCAGAGCCAAATCTGTATGAGTTAATGGCTGGTTTTGCATCGTGCTAAACCACAATGAGATCTGTGGTTTAACAAGACGTCTGAAGGCAGTCCTTGTGGCTTGTAAACCACCGTTTACAGCTGACTGCTTTGCACGAAGCCAGCCCTTGCACAGTAGCTTATGCACAAATCATGGTTAAGGCAAAACATGGCACAGCAGAATTGTAAAAATAAGAATCTTCCTGGAATCAGGTTCAGTTGCGCTGACTTCATAGATGCATCTACGCTGTTGTCTTGTATGCACGCACAAATGTTCTGCCACGGCTTTCTTCTCAGTCTGGTCTCCAAGCCCTGGAACTCCCAACATTAAAATACAGGAGTTTCAAAACAGCCGCAAGACGAAAATTTAAGGAACGAAGGGAAGACTCGAAGGGGCTCTGCAAACAAGACTACCTTGGCCTTGTTCGTTACTGGCAAACTAGAATTGCGGGCACACTGTACTGAATTTGCTGCTTGGCCAATGCCCGGATACTCGCTCCTCTGAAACTTCGACGGGTCATCTGAGCAAGTGAGGGGCGAGATGGTCAAGGTGGGTCTGAAAACTCTGTCTCGGTGCAGCCGGGCAGGCCTCCTCCCTGCCCCGTTAACAGCGACTGTGTCTGGCGAAGGAATTAAATGCTGGAATAGAGCAAATCCGAGGGGATTAGGGTGTGTGGGTGGCAGGGGCTGGAACAAACAAAGGACGTGTCAAGGGGGCTTTGGTGAAGCTGCAGGCTGGGAGGCAGGCCGGCTCCCAGCAACCCCGCGAGTCAAGCCAAGTGAACATCAATCAAACATGCAGAGCGTGTGCACGCCACGGCAGCTCATCCCTCATGCATAAATTCAGGGACGAAAGCGACTGCGGGAAATCCATCGCGGCCCAAAACATTAGCACAAGCAATCGTTGATCAAAAGGGGGCCCTGCGTACAAAGGGGCTGCTTTGTCAATTAGCCGCTGGGCTGTTTTCTTTGGTGGCACAGAAGCCAGCCGCTGCTGCTGGTCCTCCACGGGACGGGCTGATCTCCCTTCGCCCGCTTGGCGAGGGAGGGTGCCCTCGTGGCCAATGGGGCTGAAGACCCCTCCCGGTCCTAAAATGCTTTTGCCAGGCAACTCTTCTACAGCTGGCATATCTTCCTCCTTTGAGAAGCCAGGGCACCAAACCTTTCACAGTCCAAGGAGCTTTTCAAACAAGAACAGTAAGACAGCGAAAGAACTGTTGAAAGAATTATTTCAAGCCGTTTCCACATGTTAACTTTTGTTTCCTCCTAAATCGCAGATTTATGCTTTTAATTGTGCCCATATCGTTGGCCTGGAAGCGTGGCAGGTGAATCCATGCGCGCTTCACCGCTGCCCCCTTGACCCTTTGGCAGGAGAGCCACTCGTTTTCGTTTCATCTCTTTATTGGTGCTTTTCCAGGGGAGGCAGAGTACCAGAGGTGTCAGGACACTCAAGCTTTCATTTTGCCTTGGGGAGGCACAGGAGGGGCACGGGCGCCTGCCTCGCAACCCAAGAAGCTTCAGGCAGGGCCTGCGATCCGCCCCCGGAAAGGCTGGCCCGTGAGCACCCCGGCTTACCTTTGGAGGACCTCTCGTGGCTTCCCAGAGTAAGCCAACCCCTAATAATTGCTGTTTGATTTCCCCAGAGCAGAGTTCTCCCAAGAGGAGGGAATAAGAAGCCACGCACGTGCCCACGCCAAGCAAATCGGAATGAAAGACGAGACCGCGTCTCCTAACCGTAGCCGGGACAGGGGCTGGAGGAAAGGAACTGAAGCAAGCTTTG